AGATTTCTTTAACTGAAATACCGAATAGTTTCTTTGGTGTGAAAAACTATAATAGTACACAGGATCCTAATGAGATAATTAATAATGTGAAATAGGAAGTAAAGGGCTAAAGGTGTAGGGAAAGTGGGAAGGGTGGGGGAAAGGTAATAAGGGAGAGGAAAAAAATATGAGAAACTGAAAAAATGGAAATAAAGTGTTTGTAAATGGGGAGGGGATGAGGGGGTGAAGGGAGGGCAGCGACAAGGGGGAAAATGAGAATCAAGACCTATTATGTAAAGGTACAGAATCCCAATGATGAATGTAATTGTATTGTATACCTAGATTGTACCAATAACCACAATAAAAAGAAAAAAAAAAAAAGAAAAACTATGAACGTATCCCTCCTGGTTTATTTTCATATTTGCACCAATACAATTTTGATTTATTTGTGGAAAGGGGGCACACAAAGACAAAAGTGCATGAGGTCCATAACAGCCATGATGGGTCCCTGCAACCAGGGGACAGAAAAGAGGCTGATGGCCCAATTATAACCCTGCCTCTGCTGTCTGAGCCATGCGAACCTGAAAAGGACGCTCAACCTTTCTGAGCCTTTTCCGTATCTGTAAAGTAAGGGTAATAATGGCAAACCAAGCTCTCAAGACTGTTAGAGATTCGATAAATGTACGTCAGATGTCTCTACCTTTAGGTAGGCACGTGACAAATAGTAGCCAATATTAGTATTGCATAAATACCTTGCCACTTATGAAAGTCCACACAAATACAGAGCAAAACTATGCAAGGGAGCGGAGTAAAGACTACCAAAAGAAGCATTCTGTACATCAAACAGCTAGCAAGAGACAAGACCAGAAATGGCTGCCCCAGCACCTCAGCCATCAACATGTCTATAAACCACCAAGCTCCACACAGGTCTTCTGCTCCAGTGATGGACCCCTGAATCTGATTGTCCAACCCTCCCCACCCCGTACTCCCAAGAATACCCAGCAGCCAGCCTACCCTGCATCCCAGGTCACCAGAGGGACCACAGCCAAGTTATGCTAAGCATTTTAGTGCTAATGGTACAAAAAGACCATCCCGTCTGACGTCCCGCCAACGGGCAAGTGCTGCCAAAGCAGGCAGCAGTGGGAGCAGCACTGATGCATGGGATCAAGAAACTGGTGGTGTGGGCGGGGCCACACTCCAGAAAGTACTTGAGTCTGGGGCTCAGAGATTTAAGGCGGGGCCCCATTTCATCTCTGTGGTACCCCTGAGAGGAAGGACACACACCCATTTCACAGGGTAGGAAAGCAAGACTCACTAAGAAGCTTGGTTTCATAAAGGCAGTGCTGAGGACAGAGGCCAAGTCGGCTGCACCCCAACCTCTAGGGTTTTCACACCTCGGAGTCCAGTCTGGAGCTTTGCTTTAAATACCCGATTGTCCTTCTCTCAACAGCTGAAAACCAGCCAATCCCCCAAGAGCACAGGGGTCCCTTTGATTTCAGACCCAGCCTGGGACCACGGGAAACCAGACAAGATGGGCCAGGTCCCCTCTTCGCCATCCTGACACTCTCTGGGTGGCATCTCCCACGGTGTGAATGCTGTAGGGCCATAACCAGGGCTCCTGCACCTCAACCTGTGGGGCTCCCGTGGGCCCCTTCAGGGGCCACAGATTCCTTAAAAATCAAGGTGACTGCTGGGAAGGCAGGGCTGTAATCTCCCGGTCAACCCAGCCAGGAAAGGCTCGCAGGGCAGAAGGGCTTGGAACAGTTTTATCAAGTGACAGAAAGGGGAGCACGGGCCGGAAAGGGCTGAGGGTTGTGTTCTGAGATTGACACAGGCTGCGCAGGAAGAACACAGTAACCAGAAAACAGACAAGTGGCCCCAGTCAGCCCCAAGGTGGGGAGCAGGGAGCCGGTTAAGAAAGCAAGGGAGCAGCAAGGAGGGGCGGAAAGGAATCATCCAATCCTGATGAGCTCCCCAGGCCTAACAACTATAACTCAATGTTTTCCCAAATCTCCATGAAATCTCACCGCAGAAAAAAAGGTGAGAACATGAAGAGGTATGTGTGCACCCATGCTCATAGCCGTGGTATTCGCGAGAACCAAAAGGTAAGGGCCGGGGAGTTAGCTCAGCGGTTCCAGCGCCTGCCTCGCAAGCACAAGGACCCAAGTTCAATCCCCAGCACCAAAAAAAAAAAAAAAAAAAAAA